AATACTATATTATAAGCTAGTTGGTCTCCATTGGCTCCATTCGCAAATTATTCTCAATGGAGCAATGGAGTGATGTCAATGGAGTTGTTCTCCATTCATCCAATGGATAAATGTGCCAACCCTGCCTTAATCCTATGACGCTGTGGTCAACTTAAATGAATGCTAGGTGCACTCAGCGCTTGTCAACAACGCATACAGTATTAGCATCAATTTCTCACTTTCCTGATATATATGAGCAGTGTTAAAATTCAGTTTCGAAGTTATGTTCTCAAACGAATTCAAAAAATTTTTAATGTTCTCATTATATAGATTATTTTTTAAATAAATTTATATTTTATTAAGTAAACCTATCTTGGGCCCTTAAGTAAAGTTGTAATAAAAACTTTCTGATTTTAATTAGAATCAGATTTACAACTTTATTTAAGGGCCCAAAAATAGATTAGCATAATAGTGTTTCGATCCGTAATCCGACTACTGGACTACCTGGGTTGATTCAGATATCCAAATCAGAGATTTTTAAATAATGGACCTAAGGATGCGTCCAAAAGCTAGTTTTATATATGGGCTAGGTGCTGGGAAAGAGACGAAAATGACAATTTTACAAAAAAAATTTTTTTTGAGCTTAACTTAATTCAAAATTAACTCAAACATTTTTTCACTTAAGAAAGAAATGTTATTGCATTAATAAAATTTTACAGGATAGCCTTTTAAAGTTTATATTTTCTTATGATTTAATATAGATTTTATAATATAAAAATCAAATTTCCGCAAAACTTACATTTTGTCCTTTTCTTAGCACCTAGCCCATATAATCTCCGGATGGTTGTCAGAAATACGTAGGATCGAAACACTATAGCATAGTAGAAAAAAAGGTTATTCCCCAATTTTATTATTTAGTAATAATAATATTTCTGAGAACATTTTATTCTTACAAAATGTTCTCAATTAAGAGAACTTTATTTAAATAATGATATTTTGAGAACGCTAGAACATCAAATTTAAACACTGTATATGAGTACTTTACAATGGAGATTGGACCCGTTGAGAAAATCTCTACCCGAGTATTAAATTTACTATCTGCTAAATGTGATTTTTGTTAACAAAATGACCCTATGTAAAATCATAGTCTCACCATTTTGTTAGTAAAAATCCCATACGGTATATCTCCAGTAAGGGTAACCATATAGCAGCAATTTTTACCGGGTCCAACCCTTACTTTACAAATGCCAAATGCAATAATGATATGATTATGTTTTATGCCCTAAAGTTAACTTTTTTTTTTTATTAAATTTGTCTTTCTTCCCGAAAATATTACAGTACATCATTTTATCCTAAAAAAAAAAATACAGCAGGCATTAAAGGTACAGAGAGAATATTAAATTCCGATTTCTACGAGGTATAGTCGAGCCTTATATTGTTTACCCTTATATATTCGGAAAGAGTGAAACAAATACAGATGCATGCAATAAAGTTTTCTCACGTCAAACTAAATCGACCTATTTACAATAAACCGTGCGGACCTTCACGAATCCGTAGTCTTTGAGTGCATCCTTTTAACTATCATCAAAATCTATTTTATCAAGACCATCCAAATATATTTTTAAAATGTCATCAGCTGTTGGTTTTAAATCTCTGCCGTTTTTGCGTTCAATATATTTTTGGGGGAAATATCTGGTGATAATGTGAGCAAGACCGTAGTTTCGATATTTGCCTCTACCTCCTAATAGCGCGTAATAGGTAGAATATAAAACAGCCGCAAGAACAATAAACATGGTAAATACGGAAACTGGTTGAAGGAATGGCTGTTCGCGAGTTGTGGGCACCTCAAAGCTTCCTATAACAGAGTTTAAAAAGTTTGAAAAATAAATAAAACTAAAAAGAATTCTTTCTTTTTTTTTTTTTTTTCTTTTTTTACTTTGAATAATAATATATACCTGGTTTAAAATGAATAAGACCAATTGCACTATTATTTGTTCCAAAGGCATTAGATGCCACTCCTATTTCGGACCGAAAATCCATTTGCCATTTTATGGTTCCGTTTAAAAATACATGTCTCTTCCAGAAAAATGTGAACGCACGCTCACGATTGGCATCGGATTGTGTTAAGCTATAAGGACTCAATATTTGTGGCGTCTTAAGCGACGAAAGCTCTGTGGCCGAAGCTTCGCTATCAGGCAAATCGAAAGGATTCCATACCATTAATTGCATCTTGGAAATGGTCGATGCATTGAAAAATGAATATTGAATGAACATAGCGGATTGGAAGGCAGTCCAGTTTTTTGGTGGTATTTCAGGTGTGGCAAGAAAGATTGGGCTAGTTGTTTGAAAAACATAACATCTAGTAAACCATCCATTATATAAATTATCATTGCTAACATTTACGAATTTGATTAAGTTGGGACAATTTATCGAAGTATTGCCATAAATTGTACAGTTAAAATTGTATTGCACGTCATCTGTGCACAAAGAAAAGGCTGGTGGTGGAAGACTATTGACATTTTCGAAAGATAATGTTATATAGGTAAGGTTTGATCTAACTATATCAACTACCGTATTTGAAATAAGATATATTATTAGAATAATTGCAAAGAAGACTTGAAGAACAGTTGTGATGTGCCTTCGAAGGTTTTTTCCTTTCATTGATTATTAAGAGTTTATTTTATGTAAAAATCGGATTTAATTAAGAATAAATATAGTAATTGAATTTAGGGACTTTAGTAACAAACAAAAGAGATGCCAGCTCTCTGTATTAACGGATTAAGAAAGACAAAAAAAAAAAAAAGAACTTATTGGGCTTTTTCAGAGAAATGGGACATCGGAATCCACTTTGTTGCTAATGAAAACCGACTTATTTTATACTGTATCTTCTGAAATGAATATTTCCATAATAGTTCAACAAAATTTCTATATTAATGATAATTAATTACATCACATTTTATCGAATTTCAAACACTCTTTATAATCTTTATAATCAATATTTCTGCAAACGAGAACAATTAAAAGAACAAAGGTAATTAATTTAATTGATCTTCCAAATACAGCAAATTGTTGTATAATGAGATTGTTCCGCATTAGACATCAATCTAACTTATTTCCTTTTCTGTTAGTCTGTACAGCGATTGAATTTATTATATTTGCTTGAATATCAAATAAGATAATATATAGCTAACTTTTTAATAAATTGATATTTCTTATAAAAAAAAACTTCGCCAGTTTGTTTTGTTATGTTTTACATACCGAACTATAATAAATTTATTAAGGAAAAAACTTATATTTATTATAAATTGTATATATCAAAAGATAAGAAATAAAACTCATGATCTATTTTATTTAAATTTATTATCTGTATATTTTTTATACAAAATTTCTAATTTACACCACAGATGATAATCACCTATATATAAATATTATATTATATATATTAAAACAATTATAAGAATTATATATTATATTATAACAAGCAATTGAACAATTATATAAACTCTAATCCGCTTTACTTTACTACGTACTGTATGTAGTATTTTTGTAGCTACGAATCTCGTATATATAATAATTGTATTGTGTTAACATATATACATATACCAATTTGAAAAGAAAGTATTATACAGGTAAGGATAGAGAGTATGTCGATCAATTTTCATAGTAAACAAATGGCAAATTTTTTGTGTAACGTATTGTTACACACGTAAAAATCGAACACCCACATGCATATCTAGAATGTTCTATGATAAAATATATATCTTGCTACAACTTGATTGAGAAATTATGATATTTTTATAAAGATTAAAACTTGTATAGAGACTGCTTAGTCTTTTTCTGTTGAGTTTTTTTTAGTTTACAATATAACAATCTGTGTTGTTCTATAATATACTTGTATATATTTTATATATATACTTATATGCATATTTACATGCATACTTATACGCATACTTCAAATATAACAAATCTTATTATAACAAGCTCTAAATATAACAAACTCTAAATTTTATTTCATAATAGCTTGATATAATAAGAGCTATATTTTTTAAAAAAATATAGTAATTTTTTATAATAGATTTCTTTTTTCTTTTCTAAACTATTAGTTTATTATAAAGAGTTTACTATATATATAGTACTTACGTACTTATATACTTTTTTAAATACTATTCAAGGTAAACAAATTAGTTTATTATACAGTGAAATTTATTATTATTATCTCTAATCAGAAAGCTACTAATATTAGTCAAATTATTTAGATTATTTTTTTCTTTTTTATTAGTATACTCAATATTTCCAACATTCTTTTTCTACATATTTTTTAGCATTTTCAAAGATTCTTGTTATAACTGTATTGTATAACAAATATTTCATAATTTTGGATTACTGTAATCGTATTTTCTGTTTAACTAAATTTTTGCAGATCAGATCATTTAGAGTAATCTGTACTATTTCTTTAGAAACTAAAATTTTTAGTAGTTTTTTCTCATATAACTTTACTTCTTTC